TGCTTTCATTAATGCTAAATGTAAAGACTTGGAAGAGCTATTCGGAGAGATGCAAACAAGAAGGAACAGATTACTATCAAGCACTGCTGACAGGAAGCCATTGGTACTGGAGATGCTGAGGCTGAACTTATCAGATAGCCAGCATTTGAGAGAACATTTCATTAAACAGTGAAAGCAGACAGGACCCATTTGCTGTGGAGCAACACCTCCGAGTGTGACTCACGCTATTGAACAATCCTGACTTGAACCTGTTGAGGATCTTGGCCCAGCGTTTCCTTTCCAGTATTAATCCGAGCTAGAAACGTGTCAATAAACCTCTCTGCTGCTGCCTGGCAGCTGGATAAGCAGCAGTGCGAGCCCTCTGAGCGCTCGCAGGTCACCAGCAGCAGCCGCACGCCAGACCCGGCTGGTGCTGCCGCCGAGCCCCCGCCCTGCGAGCCCTTCCCAGCGCCCGCACCTTCACGGCGCCGGCCGCGGGGCTCCGGCAGCTCCCCACCTTCCATCGCCGTGCCCATCCCCTCACCCCACCCCGCCGCACACCCCCACACGGACCGACGCCCTGCGGAAGCAACAGGGCAGCTCCCCGGCCCTCCGAGCCCCGGGGCAGGGGCCGGTCCCGGCGGGGCGGGCGCGGCCCCCGGTACTCACATGGCGAGGGGCCGAGCGGGGTCTGCTGCCTCCCTCTCCAGCAAAGATGGCTTTCCGGCTCCGCGCCTGCTGCCAACGCTCTCCTACTGTTGTAGGCACTGTTGCTGAGATAGGAGGGGTAGGCACCGGCTACTGAGCATGCCTGCGCCTTATCACAGGGTAGGAAATAGAGGCAAGGCACGGAGGTACCCCCTCCCCACCCTCACGCCAGCCAGGAGAAACTCCTGCAGTGACGAACGCGAACGAACCCTCCGGCTCCTGCCACATCCCGCCTCCTCCCGCGCGGAGCAGGCAGCGTCTGGCTGGGTGTGGTCACCGGAGCGGGGCTCAGTCCAGCCAAGACGCCGGGGGGGATTTAGGTGAAAACGTTTGTGTCTTTCTGCAACCACCTTCTGTCTCCCTCTCTTTTCTAGAAAGAAAGGGGGGGGGGGGGAGAGGAAGAGAGCGAGAGAGGGGGAAAAAAAGGAAGAGAAGCACGAAAGGTGTTGCTGTTCAATCCATGGTGTCATGGGTGAGTACTCGTGAATGAAAAAAGGCAAGCTGTCAGGATTATAATGCCTACCCACAACACAGAGCAAACCCAAAGACAGAGAAGCTACTGGATCAGCCACTGATCGTGAAATGGTTGTGTCTCAGATGAAGTACAGCAGTTGCCAAGTCTCTATGCTCCTGGCTTTAAGTTCACCTCACACTCAACTTAAGTTGATGCCCAGGCATTCAATCTCACCCTTGAAACTCCTTCATTACCATCAGCACTTCCCTTGCATGTCCCACACCCTTGTACAGCACAAAACTTCTTCTGAAGCAGAACGTGCTCCTTTACATTCAAACCAAAGCCATCACATACTCTAAACAGAGGTCAAGGAAGAAGAAAGGTTTTCAAGAAATGGCACTTAACATCACTGTCCCCAGTGATAACTTCTTCCGTTTTTCTTGTAAAAAGATACCTTACCCATCACTGCCTTTCCATCAATGTCAGTGACAGATAGCACAAGCTGTTAAAATCAGGTATCTGGGTAAGGCAAGGGCTTACCCAGAACACAGAGAAGCTTTTGTAAGTAAGACCTCAGATCTCGAGGTGCCTTTTGGAGATAAAGTACAACAGTGTCATCAGATAAAATCTGTGGTTTTTGATGCGGGAGTCAAAGAAAAGGTGAATTGTTCCTCAAAGTAACAGGCAAAGGCACAGGTACTAGGGATGAGGAACGCATCAGTCCCAATTTCTAAACTTGCTATCAATCAGTTGAATGTTTTCATGGATAAAGTAACCAAGGAATGTGACAACACCCACAGTGGTGGTACACAGCCCAGACCTTAGGACACTCAGCTGTTGCCTAAATCCAGGCTCAGATGCTGTCACAGCCTCAGATGCAAGCCCTTGCCTGTCAGCTCTGAAGGGGATCCAAACCTTTGGGGGAATGGTGGAACTCTCAGAGCGACTTAGTCACAGGATCCTCTCTTCCCTCTCCCTCTGCTGCCTGAGAGCTTCCTCACAGCATTAAAGACTCATCATACCTGCTGCCACTGGAGGGTGAGTTTGTCTCTTCTAATGAAGGTAATCATTTACATGAATGAATAAATGTCACTTTGAGCCTTAGTTCTCTACATTTGACCACATCACTAAGGGCGTGCTCACATATTGCAGTCATAATAGCCTGGCCCTGAGAAGCTTTTTCTGATGGAAGTAAAAAAAAAAAAAAAAAAAAAATCAAAGTGGATTTTTTCTATGTAAAGATGGAGTTTCAACCAATTGATATGCCCTGACGACAGTCAGAAGATTCCTGACTAGCTTTAAGCTTTATCCATCCACAGATTATTTAGCTCAGCACTTCTCATCTGGTATTCCTCCACAATCTTTCCTCATGAGGATGGTTTACTTTTCAGATATCCTAGACAAAGACACATTTATCTGATACCCTGTAGCACACAGCCACACCAACACCCACACATAGGCATACACTGAGTACAGGTACCACCTGCTACACCAGTCTTCAAACCCAAACCACGCTCATACTGAGGAACTGACAAGTCATGCAAGGCTGAGGCCAGGAGCTTCTGGGACAGAAAGACCTACTATCTAGACCTTGCTGCCCCTTCTGTGCTGTCACTTCATGTTGTTATGTGGAGGGTGGAACAAGTATTGATGCCAGATCAAAGCTCAAATGACTCAAAAAAAAAAATCCCCTAGAAGACTCCAAACCCAACTTATTAAAATGTTTTATTATACAAACTATCCAGAGCACATGATACAGTGTCTATGCTGACTTCATGCCAGCTTTATCCTGATTGAAGTGGAACAGAAAACACACCCATGAGCGTAAAAGTGAAATGGCAGTCAGAAAAATTAAAAATTAGTAGAAACGTGTCAGTACAGGAATAATACCTCAAACCTTGTGAAAAGAGTGCAGAATGAGCTGAAGTTGGAACAGTGTACCACAGCATATGGCCACAGCTTTCTCTGATGTGATACAGGAGAGTTCTCAAAACCAAATTAAATAACATCACTGGACTGTGGCTGCTAAAGAAGAATTTCCTACCAGCTAATGAAGGCATCACCATTCCAATCCAAGATCACGATTCTGAAGAAAATTCACAGCTAAACTGGGGGACATTTTCCTTTAGCCCTACATTTCCTTGAGTTCACAGACTGCCATTAAAGGCTACCAAAGCCTTTGATGAAATAAGACATGCAGAGACACCCTGTGGTGGCAAAATAATATGATCAGAATTAGTTCCAACAGCTGAAAATTCATTTAAGACACGCAAATGGATCAGAAAAGCTGCATCGTGAGGACACCAAGAAATTCTCCCCAAGTTGCTATTCATGTAATTTCCTCTCTCCAGACATCCTTTCCTGTCTGGTATCTTTTACTCTCTGTGTTTGCATGACAGTCCCTGCCACAAAGATTTTACCTCTTATTCTGTTTGGCACTTTTACTCCAGAGGACAACAGCTGAATCACGGCTGCAACAGTTGGAGGGATGGCCATGGAAATGCTCAGCTTTTGGAAGAGTTTCCTGCATCTTCAGCCTGCCAGTCTTGCGTAGGGAAAACAATCAGTCTTTTGTAAACTGTTGCTGTTGTTTTTTTTACCCCATTCATAAATCATATTTTGTCCTGAAGTCAAATTTTATCTATGAAGGCAGTTTCAGAGCCATCAATACACGGCTCAGGACACCCAGAAATGAAAGCCATCAACAAACAGCATCTGTGCAGATCAGTTTTGGCATCTGAAGTCTTGCAGGTACTAGACCTTGCTTATAATGAACTAAAGACAACCCACAGATACAACAATGAGGTTCCTGAAAATCCATTGCTGATATATGATCTTCATCTGAAGGAAACATATTTTCTCCCAAATCTGCAAGTACGATCCCCATTTTAAAGAGTCATTAACAAAACAACTCCATTAGTGCTAGATAAGAAAGGTGAGAACGATTGGTTGGTAGATAGAAAGCAACGGTAGTCAAGTTTCACAAGATTTAAGCAGAGAAGAAAAGCAAGGCAAATAAATCAATTATTCAAATATTGGGTATTCAGATCTGATTTGGCAACACTTTTAAACAGATAGTTAAAGTACACAAGGATTAACTCTCACATCATTAGAACTAGTTACACTACCCATAGCCAGACAAATTCATCTTTAAAAGAGAAATTAAATACTGTACATGTCCAAAGTATAATTTTTCAAAAATTGTCTAAAAGGCTTAAAAAAAGACCTGAGTACCTTCAGTGCTTTGTTACCAATTTTTACATGTTTATTTTCCATGTTACATTTTCTTCTCTTGATCTTTTAGGCAAGTGGTATCAGTACTGAAAGACCCTTCAGTGGGAAGCCTTTGAAGCTCCCTTGTCAGAAGCAAGGTAGATGTCTGCCTCCCCAGTTGCTGATTTTATTAGACACAGATTGTTCTGTTCTGCAGAACTTCACCTCAGCACCACTGTATGCCTAAAATGGGTCTTGAATTTGCAGATTATTTTGTCACCAATTAAACCCCAAAGTCTGTAATTGTGAGGTGTGTAAATTTTCTTTCCTTCACAACTTCTATTCCTTCACATCTTAGTAATACTTTAGTGACAGTTTCCTTTTACAGGTCAGTGAACTGTTTGTAATTCCTTTCATAAATGGTCTTTTCTGCCATTTCTTTGGGATATACAAGTCCAACTTACCTGGGTTAAAACACTGGGTCTCTCATGACCAAGCCTGAGCAGCAAGGTGTGTCACTCTATGTTCCTTCAAGGAATTTACAGTTTCTTGTTAATGTGTATTACCATGTAATTTTGGTAAGTGATTATAACACAACTTAAAACTGTTTCAAGGTGTGATCCTGCAAAGCATTTGTACAGTGAGTCCCAGTTGCTCTTGCCTGTGTGTGTCCTAAGGTATGAACTGGTTATGGAGAACTGTACTTAAAAGGTTGGGAGAGACTGAGGGGAGAGCAGCACACAAGGAGAGAAAAGATGAAGAGTAAAAGCAGAAAAGTTCAAAATGATTGTCAGTTTTGTTTTTAAGCCCACAAACTTTGTGTGATTTTGTATAGAAGATTTGTGGGAAATATTTTTAACAGGCAGGAACAAGACAATAGACATAGGAGGGGGTGAACATGACCCTCCAAGTCAAGCAACCAAAAGTTAATGAAATTACCAAGTATCAAATGTAGCACAGAGAGACTAATTCAATCAGAGAGGCCAAAGGGATAATTCTTGGAGACAAAGCATCACAACGCGGAAATGCAGCCTAATCAACTGCTTTATCAAAAGAAAAAGGAAACAATTTCCAATCCTTAACTAAAATCCCCAGTTGGTTCTTCATCTTTTCAGGGTTCTGGTTTTTGCTTTGCAGTGTTTGTTCCATCTCACATTTGTTTCACTGCTTCTGTTCTCTGCACAAAGCTGTTTCACTGGCTCCTGGCTCTTCGCTTCTATCAAACGAGCTGCCTCTGCTCTTGGTTTAAGCAACCAGCTTCATCATGAAAGAGAGCATGTAGAGGGAAATATTCATTATGTTTACTGTCCAAGCCTACTTTCCATAATTACGTGGAATAGAGCAAGAATATCCAGAGTCACCTTGTGTCTGCAGGATTTTTCAGAGCAGGTGTTTGCTTCATCTGATGGAAAGCAGCTGCTCCCTGATCTCAACTGAACCTCCCGTGTAACCAGGACCCTTTGCAGGTAGAGGAACGCATCCAGACTTCGCCAGGTACAACAAGCAAGGGAGAGGCTTTCGAAAAGCTACTCAGACTTCTGTTTTCATCTAAGCAAGTGGTGTTGTTATGACAGATAAAATGAGCTGGCACAAAGGAAAGAAGGACCTCATGGAAGGAAGTGCAGGAGATGGGAAGCACGGCCGAAAAAAGCGAGAGCGGCTATTTAAGAAGAGATTTTCTGGACTGAGCCTTTTCTCTGGGTCTCCTAAGAATAAATTGTAAGTACATCCTTGATTATATTTTGTATACATTTTTAACCAAGAAATTTTGTAAGGATTTCCAGAGCAGCTCTGGAAGAGCCATACAGACACTTTTGTTAGCTCTGCTGTATTAACTGTTTCACAAACAAGGAAACAGTTATGGACTAATTAAACAACTTGACCTAAAAACTAGGAAGTCACTGGCAGAAGTAGACACAAAATGAATGTTTCCAAACCTCGTGTGTCTGTGTGTTCCTCTTATAACCATTTCCCAATGCTTCCAGTGAGAGATTCAGAGAGGCAGCATCTCTGTTCCTCCAGATACACACACTGCCAGCCCGACAACCCAGGACACTGGTCTAGGAGTGACATTGCTGCAGTTTTTGTTGCACTGACAGCTGTAACTCCGGGGTGTAATGGGCAATGGCAATGTATGGGCAGCAGCAAAAATCACTGTCCAACAAAGTCAGTGCTACTAAGTTTCTTGAATCAGAGCATAATTATTGCTTGTGTTCCTAACAGTCGTACCTTTATACTTACTACTTTTCAGTTAGAAGGAGAAAGGGCAAAACAAAACAAAAAGACAAGCAACGCAAAACTATTCCTTTTTCAACAAAAGTAAACAAAGGTAAAAGTGAGTTTGAGCTTACTGCTCTGTGCATGTATTAGTTTTGAGCCATTATAATCATCCATATTGGGTTTGAAATTCTCTTTTTGGGTCTTTCTACTTGATATTATTCATATTATTCTTCCTTAACACAAATTAAACTGAGTGTATGCATCATGCTAAGATCAGGAGGGGTTTCCAAAAATTGTAGGAGATCTGTAGGGAACGCAGGTCTTGAATGAGAAAAAACAAAGAGTCTGTCTTTGATAATTATCATGAAATTACCGTCTTAGGAGGAAGTGCACGCAAGTCTCCACAATTACTCAGCTAACTACATTAAGCTTGATAGCCACAGCAGCTGGTTACAGGCTCGACATAAGATTAAAATACACTAGCCAGAAATGAACCTGAGAGCCAGATTTTTCTCTCAGACTGATCTAATTGCAGCATAACTAATACCAAGAGCTTGGCTTTGGGATTTATCTTGCTGCACTGCTAAGGAACTGGACTAGAAACATAGTCAAACATCCAAGAAGTGAATTACATCTGTGAGTATTCTCTGTTATTCATAATTTCACTGAAGCGTGCATTCAGGGAGCAGACAGATGCAAAGCAGTAAAACCATGTTTTCCAGACATTGATCCTTCTGTGTCAGTGACAAATACGAACTTCCCCAGTTTGAAAAAAAAAAATTAAAAAGAAATTCAACAGGAATGTAGGAACCTCCTCCCATGGTGCTCTCACATTAGTGGAAAGAGTCAGTCTTCAGACCTTACTGGAGATATTTCTACAGACACATTGCATGGCAGTGGTTTTTAAACACATTCAAGCCACAAGGGCCTACAGAACTCCCACAGTGGTACAGCCAAATTACATCATTTCTACAGTTCAGCACTGATTTGTGAGCTCTTGTAAGGGATTACGTAGGTTAGCAGCTTGATTTTGAAGCACTGTTTTATATAAAATACAGTGGTATATAATTTGATCAAGAGACCTTTTCTTTCAGCTCTTCCATCTCTGTTGAAGGTCAGTGCAATATAGGGCTTATCTACTGGCCAGCATTAGTGTGCACTGTTAGTGCACACAAGTGGAAAAAGAACCTTTATGATGGTATAGGGGAGGCCTGTTAGGTCAGATGCCAGTAATTTAGATACACAGAGCTGTATGGACTTTGTCTTCATGCAAACACACGAGGCTTGTGCCACAATCACCCACAGAAGAGCTGCATATTAAAGATCCTACCTAGCTAGCTGGCATCGCTGGTTAATGGTTTTGTTTAAATGATGGAAATCCTTTAATCATTCTGTGTTCTAAAACTAATGGTTTGTCCTGCCATCACAGCCAGACTCCCCTTTTTCTGTCCATTCCTGCTTTCTGCAGGTGACCACACATTGCACCTGCTCCTGGTGTGTCACAGGTACAGCCTGTGGAAGGGTTCATAAATCACACACTAATTGCTTCTGCTGCCCTAGGAAGTGCACAGGCTGAACTTGTCACCTCTCTTTGTGACTGTTGTAGCCCTCAGGGAAGAAGTCAGCTTTTTGAAGACAAGAGGAGATGTTTACACAGGAAAGGCTCCAAGAAGCTGAAGCCAGCACAGGAGGAAATCTGTTCTTTGAGGCAGCCACACTCTGGGAAAATGTGTCCGAAATGCGAGATCCTCACCTGCCGGAAGTGCGAGACCCTGCACTCGGAGAGCGGCTTCATTGCCCACAGCCTGCTCGACCACTACGATAGGGGAGGAGCCACAGCCCACCTGTGACTGCAGAGGGTGATTAAAGATCTGATGTGGGTACCCTGCCAGTACCCAACCACATCCCAGACGCTAAAGCTTGGATCCCCCTCAGGCTCACTGGGTCTCCAGCCTGTGCAGCATCAGCAATTCCAGCCATACCGTAGCTCATACTATACACAGCAGATGCACATGCAGCAATTTAACCAGCATGCACCCTGCAAGCAAAGATCTGGAGGCTAAAAGTTTCTCAACTACTAAGGACAAGGAATTGTTTCAGAAATAATCTCCAGTTTTCTTTGTCCTCTCCAGGAAACAAGATTATCCCACTGAGCTGCAAAGGACGTGACTATTGCATGCAGAACACTGGGTACATTACTCTTACTTGCAATGCCTTGTATGTTTCAGTATTGTTTGTGGTCTGGAATATTAAACGTTTTATTTTTAAATTAACTAGCTCGGGTATGCACTTGATGGGGGAAGGGGGCTTTCTAAAGGCCATGAGGATTGCAGATCACATCCAAACACCCTGCTAGAATTTCTGACCTTTCACAGGCTTTCAACACCTTATGATTCAGCATCTTGCCTTAGAAGAAGCAACAAGGATCACAACTCTCAAAGTATTTAGGATTTCTTCAGGTTCTTAGACCCAAAACTGTAGTTTTTAAGCAGTTCTTAAAACTGTGTAGTGCAGCTCCAAATAGGAGCCAAATAGGCCAATATACAATGGTAGGGGTGGGTGGCATTAAGGTCCAGGCATACATAAGACTATTTATCTTTTTGGAATTCTTAAGTACAAGTGAAAGGAGGAAGTAGCCTCTGGAATAGGTTATCCCAAGTTTAGCAGCATACATCTTTTCGTCCCATGGCAACTGACCAACTCTATATGCAGGATAAATTCCTCACTCTTTGGTTGGTAACAGGCTAAACAGACTTAGTGTCCCATAGCTGTTGATACTAAGGGTTCTTTTATTTAGCCAAGCAGATAGAACACAGCCTGGGAAGTCTGGACTTGTTTCATTAATCCTTTTCCTAAGGACTCTCTGTGTCCTTCCTGCTCCCTTTTTGGAGCTGTTCCATTTTTGTTCCAATGAATGTTTGGTAAGGGGACTGGAATCCTGATTTTTTTTTTCTATCTCTAGGGAGTACTTTGACTGAGCTATGTCATCCATTCTTGTGTTTTGTTTCCACCTCCTCAGAAAACAATTTCAACAGGAGGAATTCAGAGCCACATATACAACATTCCTGTGCTCCAGAGTATCTTGAACAATACTGCTTAGCTCCCTTTATGGAATGTCAAACACTCAATGCTCCTTAGGCAAGAGACCGAGACCATTTCAGAAACTAGACTGAGCTGTCCAAAGCCCCAAGGGCAAAGCCCATTAGGAACCACAGGTAGGAGAAAACCTTAGGCAGGATTTACAAATAGGAATGAACCCTTCTGCCCAGACTTCCCTGGTTCAGTGTCCTTCTAGCAAGTGCCCAGACTTCCTGTCCAAACGCAGACTTCTAAAGCCAGAAATTAGATCTTACGAAGATCCTTGTGCTACAAGGGCCTTAATCCCTCAGAAACCATGTTTCCATGGTGCTTGATTGTAGCTTCCGCTCATTTGCTTCATAAAAGCCAAGCAATGCCTGGCAAACCAGAATTAACCTTTTACGTTTCCCCCTGACTGCTGTTCTTAAGCTGTGATCCTTCACAGCTTTCCCAAGAATAAGCCACTCCAGTACTTTAGAAATATCTATTCATCCTCATCCCTCTTCATCAAGCAATCCAGAGGAAACATCTCCAGACAGTCACCCGAGGAAGAGCAAGGTGACAGACTGAAAGGATGAAGGACTAGCTCATCACAGCAGCATTACTTTAAAACTGACAGTCCACTACAGTGAAACCAGTTCCAATAGCTGACAGAGTTGAGCTTTTAGCCAAGTGTTCCAGAGGGGATAGAACAAGCAAAGTTCTATCAGCATCTGCCTGATGGGATTTCTTTTGTGACTTGCTGGAGGACACACAGCAAAGCTCCTCATAGGGGCTATTAGTCTGGAAAGGCATCTAAGTAATAGCAATGTGCAAACCCAGCTCATTTTAGGGAGCAACTTTCTCTTCTCCTCACTTTCCCCTCAGTTAATGCTGTTTTCCTGTCCTGTTTGAAGGACAGCTGGTAACATGGTAAATCATTTCCCTGATCAGCACTGCAGAAGCACCACTCTTCTCCTCTATCAGTCATGAAGTCAAGCTTGGGAAGAACAACTACAACATTTTTATTATGCACTGAGGTAGCACAAGCTAATATGGTACTTGTTTTCTCAGTAGCTGTTAAATGACTGCACTTTTCCTGGGCTGGCTACTAGAATTTGCTTCAGAGATCTGCCTGGTACTGTGAGACCATGTTTGTTCCTGTCATACACAGGCTTATGTGTGTGGTATTGAGGTCAGGCAATAAAGCCACTACCTTGAGCTTAGCTTGACTTTGATCTCCCCAGTCACGGCACAATGAGGCACATTTGACTCCAAAAACCCCACAGGCCCCTGCAAACGGTGAAATCCCAGAGCCAGGGAGCTCTGGCACTTCTATGGCAGCACCCACTGACACCTGTCCATCAGGACAGCTCTACCCCCTCAGCTCTTATGCCAGACAAGTAATTTTTAAAATTATTTCAAGAAAACTTGCCAAAAAGTGGAACACGTTATGTGAACACAGGCTTTCAGTTTTAGATTTTAAAGCTGGCTCAAGACACATAATTATATTAATACAATATATTGTGAAAGAATTATAATAGAAATACTGATTACACATTTAAAAGATTTAGGCTTGAAATCATTCCTAAATAATAAAGCTATGATCATACACTGACATATCAGTTATTAAGAGCCTGTACTCCTTAATTATCTGATTCCAATAATTTGAGGAAATTTAAGAGGAATATTGGACTCTGTTATATTAAATACACAAATGGGCTCCATCAAAGGCATTCACTAGAATGTGATTGACTTGACAATCAACAGACCCCTGCCAACACAACTGATACAAGCATAAAAGGGAAAGGAAGCAACTCCACTGGTGAGGGGCAAATCCATGGGAGCTCTTTCCCTGGAAATCCAACACAGGACAAGCAGGAGTATAAAAGCAGCAGTTGTCACCATTTGTTCACAAATCAAAAGATTCAAGGTAAAGCAAGCAAACCCATAAAGTACTCATACAATCAAAAGAAAACCAGAATAAATTAATACAATATATACACTGCATATACCCAATTTCAGTTTTGGTTTTTAAAGCAGTCTAGGTAGCTTTCTCCTCTGCCAGATACAACGAAGGCCTTGAGAAAGAAAAGTAATTTTTTCAGTTGACATGTACAGAGCAGACTAGAAGTAGATCTGGAGAAAAGTAATTACCATAACATGAGACCATCTGAACTGAAGATGTTTAATATCAAAGTTGTACCTTATGTTTCTTTTCTACAGCTGCACAAAGCTATATCCTTTCCAAAGCTTCCACATTTAAAAAGGTGATGTTTCTCCTTACTGTTACAAACATCTTTAACCTCTCATATTATAATCTGACCATTTGATGCCTTCTGAATTCTGTAAATGGTCTAAAATAATATGATCCCACTCAGCCCAAACGAACTTACCATTTCAATACTGCAGCTGGATATTGGGAGGTTAATACAGAAATAAGCAATAGATTGATGTGCCAAAATTCCAGTCTTTTCCTCTTGGATGACAAAATGCGAAGGACAGACTGTCTCTTCCAGCTTTTCACAAAGCAGTTATTTATTTATTTGTTCGTTTTCTGAATCAAAGTCTGTATACCACAGGCTGTAGCAAATATGATGAAATCCAGGGAAAGTGGTGATCTATTTGCTAATACAATTCAGCAAACCAGTACTCCACTCAGAGCTTAACATGAAGGTATCACAAAATTAACCTCGGTGACCCTATAAACTCTGCTTCCTGTCAGGTTCACCCCTGAGATGTCAGCCTGGAAGGCTTTCCTCTGAGATGTGCTATCTTCTCAGCTATTTGAAGACCAAGATCAATTTACGTGAGGAAAATGCATTGTCTTTGCTGGCAAACACAAAACCAGACCATTTAACAGGCCTCTTAACTTCCTCTCCCCATCCTTACTAATTCATTGCCAAGAGTAAGCATAGCAAAGGCAAAGACAACCAAACACAACACAGCCCGTTCAAGGGCTATTAACCAACACAAACACTGAGCAGAAGTAGTATTTCTTAATAATCTCTAAACACCTTCCTCAAGGAAGATGGTGAGGAAATCCTATTGCTTATCTCAAGTACTTTTATAACCTGCATCAAAAATCACATCCAAAAAAACCTCACAACACAAAATAACTTTATTCTGTGCAATATCCTGGTGGTACTTAAGGGAAGGTGTTCCTGCACCTGGAGGTCAAGGCTCCTACCTCCAGTTTTGCCAATAGGATTGAGCCTGAGGCACAGACTTGAATGACTTGTTCCAAGTCCCACAAGAAGGCTGGGCTGGAATACGGAAGTGACTTGTCTTTCCAGCTATGGATATAAGGATGCCATCATGCTCCCTCCTCTCAGATACCACACACACCAGCCCCAAGCAGCCAAGGTGAACTTGCCGACTTCATCTCAAACTTCTGGGAAAGGTTATGTCTCCCTCAACAAGACAACACAGCAGAGATGTCTGAGTATTCTGTTTCACAGAAAAATACAATGTGTCCCAGAACAGTTACTTATGCAAATTTACATGCTGTGAATTAGCCGAGGATGAAATTACTTTTTTCAGTTATCACCTGCAATGTAGTTTCTTTTTAGCCTTCCTGCCATCTGCTGTAGAATATATATTTATATAAAAAAAAAACCAAACAGGGGAAATGGCACTTTTAATGCTACTATATTGTATAAAAAAAAAAAAATCAAACCCAACAAAACCAAACCACGAAACACTTGTTACTTTTACAATATTCCAGAAGCAGAAGATTTTCAGATAGATAAGCCTGAAGGGCGAGGAACAAGAGAATCAAAGCCCTGTACAGAATGCCACCTTGGCTCCAGTTAGGTTCTTGACCTCTAAAAGAAACAAGGAAACCTCAAACCAACAAAAATAAATCACTCTCAACAAAGTAAAAGCACCTTTACCTAAATTCCTACATAAATCAACATTTCTATGCAGAACAACTGTTTAGTCAAAAGGTAAATATATATGTTTAATTCTCTTTCAAATGTCAACAAGAATCAAGAGCTACCAGTGTCCCTCGGAGAACAAGCAGTAGTTAAAATTTCTCTTGCTGATGTTTGGAAACAGTATGTCACATCTTTGAACTAGGAGTTCCCTATTGCACGTAACAAATTTGCTCTCCATTTAAGCACCTAAAAGCCTGGTATCTCACTAAATAAATTAAAACAAATCCAGTTTCTTCAGCAACCATCTTCAACATAAAGCAACATTACTGCAAGCT